TCTCTTATTTATTTTTTGGCGGGGGGGGGGGGGGTGAGGAGGAGGCACGAGCCCTCCCCCCGTTTCCCTCTTTTCTTCTTATTCTTCATTCTTTCCTTTTATCTTTCCTTTCCCTTTCCCTTTTTTCCTTCCCTCTGTCTTCCCCATCAACATAGTAATAACGAAAGAGACCACTCTGTAATCAAGACCATTCAATTTTATTTAATACATTTTCGATATACTTAAATTGGCAACTATTACCTCCTGTCCCAGATCCTCATTTTAAACGACTAATGCGAAAGACTAGTCGACGCAACCTTTCGAGAAAAGCCACCCCCCCCCCCCCCGCTTTTATCGAAAGGGTGTGTTGAACTAATCAAACCGCGCCGCACCGCACCCTTTCGATGAAAGTCTAAGATATGATAGTAGACCCATTTTATAAAACAAATAACACACAGCAGGGGCGGCGGAGCGTGAGTAAGTGTGTGCGTGGGGGGGGGGGGGGGCACAATACAAAGGAGGCAGTTCCTCTTTTGAAAAGGGCACACTCATTCATAACATTTAGGATTGTACATTCTGCTTGCATATAATAATTTTAAACGACGTCAACATTTCTATTTTGACACCAAGGCTTTTACATATTTTAAAACATTATGTTGCATAATTTTTGATCATTTATATTCAGCAGAATTTGAAATCCTAAAAACACAAAGCTCTTTGGCCAAGCTACATTGTGCTACATGATTGTATGTCAAACACAACAGTGGCGGATCCAGGGGGGGGGGGGGGCGGGGCCCGGGCCCCCTTGAGAAAAAAAAATCATGTAAAAACACGTGATTTTTACCTTTTTCGGGGGTTGGAAAAGAAAGAAAAAAAATGGAATGGAAAAGAAAGAAAAAAGGAAAAGAAAGGAAAGAGAAGAGAAAAAAGAAGGACAAAAGAAAGAGAAAGGAGCTGGAGAAAAGAAAAGAAAAGAAAAGAAAAGAAAAAAAAAGAAATGAAAAGAACGAAAAGAAAGTTTCAAGTTTGATTTTTCCACATTTTACAGAAAATATAGACATACATATAAAAAAAAAATATATGCAATACAATTGTAGTATTAATGAGCACATTTCAATTATTCCCAATACATATAATAGATTAAGTAGAATGTGAGGAACCTTTGAAAAAGCAGTGCTTGTAAAATATAGGTTCCTGGGAAAAATACAAGTAATGTAGATGAAAAACAGTAGCAGTAGAGAAAGACGTAATTTAGAGGAAAAGGAGAAAAGAAAAAAAGAAAAATTTGTTTAATTTTTTTTTCTCCCTCTCTCTCTCTGGACGTTTAAATAATTATGATGGGATATCATAACGTCATTCTTTTATTCATGTTAAAAAACAGTCACATGACCAATGTCATATAGGACGAAGGTAATAATATGATAACATTAACGAATTCTTGGGGAATATAGGTTGGACTATATCCTATTAAGCTTGTTCAAAAGAGTTTTTTTTCTTTCCCCTTCTTCTTTCTTTTAAATTGGGATATCGTGCAGTAAAGAATAAGAGATTTACAGCTCATCTGTTCCATGTCATCCGTGATTTTATACATGTATAATGGAATGAGTATCTTATATTCTCTTCAATGCATTTTATCTTAATAAATATCTCACATGAGGTGACCATACGGACAAGGATTGCCTTCTGTGTTTATGACAAAGCAACAATGGATAAACAATATAGTGGTCAGACCTGATGGTGGGAATAATAACATTCCGCATGGTCAACATTAATTTACCTCCAATTGAAAGGAAAGTTTGGACTTTTAAATTACAGGCTTGGAAATCGGGGACGGGCTAACATACATTTTCAACCGAAATTATCTCTGAAATATCAATCGACCCATTCATTTGAAAATGCTCCAAAGAATGACTTACATGTTAATTTTTTTATTTGAGGACCACCCTGGTATGATATACATCAGTCTTTTAACGAGAATTCAACATATTTTGACCAAATCTGCAGCAAGTTGTTTTGAAATGTTGTGTTTATCATTTCCCATTTGTATTCTATATGTGTTATCTTTCAAAAGCATGATAGAACAAAAACAAATAACACACTATATAGTTGCTCAGTTCATTGGTTTAAATTGCTTTAATCCATTATTTTCCAATGCAATTTGAAAATTTCACAAGTCAACATTTTAATTATAAACCTAGACTTTTAAAAAACAGATTAAGAATGCAAACAGTCAATACATTCACATAAGTATCTAGGGTCGGTGGCGGTTGGGGGTGCTCATTCCCCTGGTACAATCACCCTGCGTCTGACTTATATACAGAGATATACATAGGAAGACATTTTTTCTGTAGTCAGATAGTTTGACTTACATTCACAAATTATATATATATATGTGCATATACATATCCATTTGTATTCTATATGGTTTATCTTCCAAAAGTATGAAACAAAAGAAACAAATAGATATGTTTCTGCCTCTTCTATTGACAAGATGTATGTACTCCCAAATATAAACCTTACAGGAATCGTTTAACAGTGTTAAATCTGAGATACACAGCCCCACGTGTTATCAGTGTCTGTGATATAGTGTAATATTGAAGCCCTAAACAAAAAATCGCGCTTCAAAATGATCAAGAAGTGCCTCAAAAAAAGTACAAATCTTTGACTGACCGGTTTTACCATACTCGTTTCCCCCCCCCAAAAAAAAATTGTAATTGCAATCATAAATATCTTGCTAATCAGACAGGCGATCGGCTTTTAAAAGTCATGGAGTTCCTGACTGACCTAAAGGTGTATAATTATCATTGCAGCAGTGGCAAAATCCAGGATTTTGTTTCAGAATCTGAGACGAAGTTACCGGATCCCTTTAATCAGACACTGACATTCATTATTTCATGATCTTTATGTATTACAAGTGATGAAGGCATAAAGGAAGAAGAATGTACAGTTTCTCGGCACGACTTGAGCATCGCCCTTTTCTTGATAACGTGACGTATTATGTGAAGTCATACATTAAGTAAATTATTCAAATTTATGGATGCTTCCTTCCCAGATGTGAGTGGTGATGAAGCAAGAATATCTTCGTTTATATATCTCTTGTACATTTTCTTTTCGTAAGGAAAGGGCAGGAATACATTTCATTTTTCAGAATACCTACACTTATTTGTGGGGGTGAGGTTTCATTTAAACCTTTTTTCATAATTCTGCAAGTGACGAGACAGACATAAAACTATAAATCATTGCAAGAAATGACGGGTAGAGGTAATGTGCTGTGTTGAATGGTGATTGAAAAAAGTGGCTGTCGCTGTAGGATGAACTTTTTGAAGCTTAATGCTCTTTTTCTGTGAGGAGAACAGGAAAAGACAGAAAGGAATTAGTTTTTTTTATAGTATTAAAATAGATGTACGTTATTCATGTTTTTGGCAATGGTGGTTTTAATTAGAGTATTTATTTTGCAATGTATTTTCAATATTCTATTATCACCATCATAATGAATACTTATCATGATAATCATCAACATTATCACCACAATTATCATCATACCAGTTATACCAGTTATATCATTGCTTTCATTATGATGATGATAGTGATTAAGAGGATCACCATCCTCCTCATTACCATCACTACCATCATAATAATCATAATCATTATCATCATCTTCTTCAGTATAATCATCATCATCACTACCATTATAATCGTCATCATAATAATCATAATCATCACCACTATCATCATAATCATCATCACTATAATCATCATCATCACCATCACTACCACCATAATCATCATCATAATCATCATCACTATAATCATAATCATCACCATCACTACCATCATCATCATGATAATCATAATCATCACCACTTTCATCATATTCATCATCATAATAATCATAATCATCACCACTATCATCATAATCATTACCATTACTATCATCAAAATCATCATAATAATCATAATAATCACCATTATATTCCACATACTAAGATCTTGCTCTACGATTGGTCAAAAGTAAATCACGCGATGAAAGATAGTTCGCCCATTATTGATGAGAGAAGCAAAAAGTTCGTTACACTGTGTAGATAGTACTACTATCTACACAGTGCAACGCACTTTCACTGAAGATTATCCAAAAGCGAACTAAAACAGGCGTAATTAAGCGCGCATTACCAATGAGCGCAATTAAAGCAAACACATGCGCGCACCGTACTCTCAAGGGTTTGGGTTAAACTTTTAAATTTTTTGATGTGAATTTGGGCCTGGTGTCTTTCAGGTAGACGCATACACGTCCTTTTCTTGTTGTAGTTAAATTGTTTTAGATGTGGAATATAAAGCAAATAATCACCTTTTGGTTTCAGGCGATGGCAAACTATCACTTCCTCGTCGATCAGAATGTATACACTATCTTTCCTCAGCTTCGCTTCGGAAAGATAGCTACATTCAGATCACCTCGGAAGTGATAGTTTGTCCCATCACCTTCACCAACGGTAGTTATTTGCTTACTATCATCATAATCATTACCATTACTATCATCACAGTCATCTTCATCACTATCATCATCCTCATAATCATTATCATTACTATCATCACAATCATCATCATCATAATAATCATAATCATCACCACTATCATCATAATCATTTCCATTACTATCATCATAATCCTCACCATCACTATTATTATAACCGGTATCGTCATCAATCATCATCACCTTTAAGAAGAAACAAATTATCACCATCACTATCATCATAATCATCTTCATCACTATCGTCATCACTATCATCATAATAATTATCATTACTATCATCATAATCATAATCATCACCACTAATATCATAATCATAACCATTACTTTCATCATAACCGGCATCGTCATCAATCATCATCATCACCTTAATAATTGTCGCCATCATCACCCATCATCATCAAGGTCATCATCATCATCACTATCACCAATATCTCCATCACTATCATCACCTGAATAATTAAAATCATTATCATAAGTTCACACTCTTCCTTACCTTACTTAGTTCATCTAGCGATCTCCTTTATTTCCACAAACAAAGCTACGGATCTTTTTCCAAATTTGTTTTACAACAGAAGTCCACTCTGCAAATCCTTCGGTCACCATGATGGGCAACACCACCAACAGTATGAAGCCTATTCCATTCCACGAACATCCTTCAGCAAAGGTCCTCAAAACAAAATGAGAACAATGATAGAATACCAAATTATAACAACATAATACAATACAAAATAAATAAGACATGACAAATATTTTTTTTCTTTTTAAGGGGGGGGGGGGGCGGGGGGCGGCTGGGTGGGTGCAATTTCCAAAATGTAAAATATGAAGAAAATCCTCACTAAATATAATAAAAAATGTTAATGAACATAAGCATGGGGCAGGGTTTGATTCCTCACAAATTTAATTCATAGAAGCCCCCTCCCCCAACAAAACAAAAACTTCAAGAGGGGGGGGGGGGGGCGCTATATTCGCCCGCAATGTTATTTCTTAAAGACCAGAAATTTATGCACTTCCCTTCCCCTTGTAGTCTTGAAAATGAAATGCAATCAAACGAGAAAAAAAGTTGGAGGGGGGGGGGCAGATAATAAGGTAGATATACCCTAGGCTAGAGAATATGCCGTTTCATGCTTTAATTTAGTTTCATTCATATTTTCTTACTGTTTAATGACTCCGGAAAAGAACAGTTTTGAGCCTAAAACACGACGCTCCTCTCGCAGCTCTTCAATTTCCGGAGCAAACTGTTCGTTGAAATGAACCTGCATCTTACTTAGATTGGCATAAGACCTGAAAAGGATAAAAAAGATGAATAGAATTGAGACCCATTTCATACTCCCATGTAAGAATGCCCTATTTAAACTCCCGTGTAAAAGCCTGAAATTCATACTCCCTAGATAATACTCCAACAGGATGCTTTGGTTGTTCAGACTATTCACACTAAAGAATACTCCAAATCTGTTCAATTTGTGAATTGTAAGATTGCGGTACGTAGAGGCTATGCCCTTTAAAAAAATGGTATAACCATGGTACTGTATGGTACCCGTGGTACTTGTCTGTTACTTGTCTGTTACCACGGTACTCCCATCATCATCGTTATACAACAAGGACAATGGTAACCATTGTACTTCCAAATTTGTACATGGTACCTGGCGGTACTTGGCAGTTGCATCGTTCAATACCATGTTTTTATGGTTCTAACCATGGTTCAGTACCATGACAGTATGGTATTAGCATGACACGTGTATTTTTCTCCCATTGTTTGCAATTAATTCACATATCCATCATGGGGATATCAATATTTATTTATTTATTTGTTTTTATTTATTTATTCGGTTTAAAAACATCAACACGTAAAGTTTAGGAACTCATAATGGTTGATTTACAATAAAATTGAAGAGTGTAACCAAAATTGAACCAAAATATATACACTCAAGAAAAACATGTTGTTTTACACACATGAAAATATGGTTACAATGGAATATTCAACGGCTGGCTATATGTAGCTAGACCAAGGCGAGATATGACGAGGAGATCGAAAAGGAGAGAGAGAGAGAGAGAGAGAGAGAGAGACAGGAAAGAGGAGGGTAGACAGAAAGAGATACAAGGGGAGAGGGAGAGAGAGGGGAGGGATATATGGAGGGGAAGTGAGGGAGAGAGAGGGGAGGGAGATATGGAGGGTAAGTGAGGGAGAGAGAAGGAAGAGAGAGGAAGTGAGGAAGAGAAAGAGGTATATAGAGAGGGGGTGGGGAAACGGGTGGGGAGAGGGAAAGAGAGAGAGAGAGAAAAGAGGGAGAGAAGGAGAGAGTTGAGAGAGAGAAAGAGAGAGACAGGAAAAAGGAGCGTGGAAAGAAATAGATAGAGGGGAGAGAGAGGGGAGGGAGATATGGAGGGTAAGTGAGGGAGAGAGAAGGAAGAGAGAGGAAGTGAGGAAGAGAAAGAGGTATATAGAGAGGGGGTGGGGAAACGGGTGGGGAAAGGGAAAGAGAGAGAGAGAGAGAGAGAGAGAAAAGAGGGAGAGAGAGAGAGAGAGAGAGAGAGTTGAGAGAGAGAAAGAGAGAGACAGGAAAGAGGAGGGTGGAAAGAAATAGATAGAGGGGAGAGAGAGGGGAGGGAGATATGGAGAGGAAGTGAGGGAGAGAGAAGGAAGAGAGAGGAAGTGAGGAAGAGAAAGAGGTATATAGAGAGGGGGTGGGGAGACGGGTGGATAGAGGGAGAGAGAGAGAGAGAGAGAGAAAAAGAGGGAGAGAGAGGGAGAGAGAGAGAAAAGGATAGAAGAGAGAGAGGGGAGGGAGATATTGAGGGGAAGTGAGGGAGAGAGAAACGGAGACGTGGAGAGAGAGAAAGAGATAGAGAGGAGAGAGATCTTTTAAAGTAAAAAATAAGAAACAAGGTAGAAGAACCTAACATTTAAAACATTAATACATTTCTTATACACATCTACACAGCAGAAGGCGCACCAAAGCGTTCAGAAAAGACAACAATGAATTAGCCTGCAACGCATCGTCGCGTCCACTCCGAAGGCCACGGTGCGCCTGCACATGATGGGCAACATTTCAGCATTTTCAAGAAGTACAGAGTAGCTAGATAATGATAATGTAGAGGCAATTTGGCAGCAAATGGCAAAATATAATAAATACCCTTCCCGACAATGTTGTGAACAACATGTGAAGCAAATTGATACAGAGTTGACACCTCTATTAATGGAAAAAAAAAACCGCATTTCTTCAATATTATGAATCAGAAAATACACCTGTAATATTGCACCTTGTAGTGGGTCTAAAGAGTCACAACATGTGAAGCTAATTGTTAAAAAGTTGACACCTCTATTTATGGAAAAACCCGCATATCTTCAATTTTACTAATCAGAAAATACGGCTATAATAGAGTATTGTACCTTGTACATGTATCAGGTATACAGATTCACATGTGAAGCTAATTGTTAAGAAGTTGACACCTCTATTTAATGGAAAAACTCACATTATTCCAATATTATGAATCAGAAAATAGAGCTATAATAAAGAATTGCACCTTGTTTCCGGTCTAAGGAGTGACGTAATGTGAAGCTAATTGTTCAGGAAAAAAAAATTGACACCTCTATTAATGGAAAACCCCGCATATCTTCAATATTATGAATCATGTGCCTGAAAATACATTTTTAATGAAGTATTGCAAGTTGTTTAAGATCTAAAGAGTACATAAAATACAATTTTATTCGTGGAATTCACATTATTGAGAGTCTTAATGAGTTGGGTACGACACATCGGTTCTAGAAACTCACCCTTGGATTTCAGGGGGCAATAATTAGGTAGGGTACTTCGGAGAGGTGGAAGCATTTAAATGTACCTAGAGCTGGTGATGGACTTAGCAAACTTCTCAAATAATCGTTTACGACGGTGCTCAAGTGATATGATGTTGAGAACCTCGAGAGCATTTGCGTAGTCAGAGTTATTGTGGTAACCAATGATTATTCTACACGCACGTTTTTGCATGCGCTCAACTTGATTAGATTGCTGAACTGTGAGAGCAGGAGACCACACCGGGGAGGCATACTCCAGTATTGCTCTGATCAGTGGCGTAAGCAGGATTTTTTCAAGGGAAGGGTTTTGAAATCGGGCCCTAAATTTGCTCCCGAAAATTTGAAAATCGCGCCGGCCGAAAAGTCGCTCAGTTGGGGGGGTAAGAGGACACTTTTTTTTTTTTGTCTCGGAATTTGAAAATTTGACATGATGTTCCGTTGGGGGGGGGGGGGTGGGGTAAGGTCACCTTTTTTAGGTCAGCCATTGCCCCCCCCCCCCCCCCCCACCCCCCTGCGTACGCACCTGGCTCTGATAAACAAGAGGTAGACCGATAGCAAATCGCTGACAGGGGCTTTGTACTTGGTGAGTATACATAGCATATATAGTCGTTTAGCAGCGAGGCTAGTCATGTGAGAAGTTTGTATGTCCCATTTCATGTTAGATTGAACAATAACAACCAATAGTTTGAGAGTATCTACACATTCAAGAGTGCTTGCACCAAGGTGAAAGTTTGGAAATATGGTAGGTCTTTTCAGGAATGAAACATTCATTATCTGACATTTTTCAGGTTTAGGGGTCATGCTATTATCAGTAGACCAAGTAGAGAGGTTGTTGATTACTGATTGGATGTTTGAAGGTTGGGAATGTTTCCTAACTTCTGCAGTTATGAGATCATCTACATATTTCCATCTTAGTTGTGTATCAGAGGCAGCATCATTTGGTTGTTCTCGACCGCCCGCTCGTCATTTTCGGGCCGCTCGCATTTTTTTTTTTTAAATATTTTTTTTTGGTTTAAATTCATTTTTTTTTTTTAATTTAATTGTTTTGGGAAAGCAATCTTAAATGCCAAACACACCATTTTATGCATTTGCAAGGATCAAAATGCGTCCCGTTGCCAGTTTTGACTTTTCAGTACGCAATTAGGTATATATTAAACTTGCCATTTTTATTTTTCTATGTCATAATGCCGTTCATTCAAATCAGGTTCTGAGCATTCTTAAACTCATTTTAAAGCCCATCTGTACTAGTTTACAGGAGGGATTAGACCACCCTTCAAGGTTACCGGACAGGTGGATATCTCATCAAATCAGCTCTCAGTTAATATAAGATAAAGAGGATCATGGGGGACCAATGGTCACCGATTAGGCATTGTTTGCTACATAGAGGGCGCAAGTAGCTATAAGTAGCACAATGGAGATTTAAAAGGTGCTGTATTTCAAAGCCCAAAATACTTTCTGTGTTGGTCTTGATATTCATTGTACATTAAACTAGTCTTTTACCATATTAAAGTATTTTATAGACTGTGTTTGTTTAAATGCTTGACAATCCCAATGATTATTTTTTTATGAAAAAAAAAATATTAAAAAAAAAAAAAATGGGGGAAAAAAAAAAAAGAAAAAAAAGAAAAAAAAAGACACACAAAAAATGAAGTTAAAAAAAAAAAATCCGCCCACCCGCCCCTACTCTAGAAAAGCAAGCGAGGACAACCAAACAATTTTTTTTTTGGCCTTAATCATGACCAAGAATAGGACCGGGCCGAGGCTACTGCCTTGGGGGGGGGGGGGGCTCCACATTTCAAATAAGATAAATTAGAGACAATAAATATTGCTGTAATTTCACGATTCTTTAGTTTTTTAAGGTATTATTTGAAATGAAAAAACTGACAATCAAAAAGTACAGCTAGAAATCTGACATACATTTGTTTTGTCAAGAAATGCATTAATGTAGTTAGATGAGTCCAATTATTATTAGGGTAAAATAGGAGTGGAAAACTCTCAACTTTCATTTGGCCATATTTCAATGTTATGTAAATGTAGAGATTTTGCGACAGTCAAGAAGATCTGCGACTAGTCAAGCCCCAAACCTACCCAGCGCACACAGGTATACATATCTGACTAAACACATAACCAAAGCCATCGCAACCGATCGATGTACATTCAGAGCAGTGCTAGCCGTATACTATGCTGTATACAGCTAGTGCGTGCACCATTCACAATAGGGACTTTTAGATTTGCGTGGACTGATACGTGTGGTGTCCACACTATGAACATGACAGACAAAGAAAGCGGACAAAATATACAGTTCCTCAGGTAGACAAAGGAACATCCCTTCACTGCTATTATGTAAAAAGGGGAATATGCATGTGACACCTGTTCCACACATTTTTACATAATAGCAGTGAAGGGATGTTCCTTTGTGTACCTGAGGAACTGTATATTTTGTCCGCTTTCTTTGTCTGTCATGTTCATAGTGCCATTCAAGGCAGTGCATTACAATTACGTCGATCGTAGCAATCCACGTTGTCGTTCGACAATTCTAAAAGTCCCTAATGCAGCTTTGCCTCGACAGGAGATCGAGTAAGTCTTGGTGCTCTAGATCCCGGCTCTAGAGCTGCAAAATCATGCTGAATACTGTTATTTCCCTGCTAATGTAAGACTATATTAGTAAGTTTTAGACTCATCTACCTTATTTACAATATGTTCATAGAATAGATCTAGTCGATGTCTAGATAGTCATTTATGACATTGTCAACTGGGACTTTTTTTAAAATATATAATTTGGAAAGGAAGAGACAGGATTTCCAACAAAATAGATGTGAATGCTCGGGAAGGGAGGGGGGATTTGTTGAGCTTTGGAATGAAGGGGGGGGGGGAGGGGGATATGTAGGTTTGTATAGGTGTCTGAGTATGTGAGCGTATGTGGTGTGTCTGTCTGTCTGTAGGTAACTCTTTGATTTATAATAATTAATTTGAAAACATTATGAACTGTGTAGTAAACTATCTTATGTATTTTTTTTTTGAGAGATGTACAATTTTCCTTATATTTTGATACGATGTGTAAATCAATGAAGCTGTATGTTTGTTTGTTATATATTTTGTACTGAATGAATACAATAAAACAATGCTACAAAACAAACAAAAAACGCCTTCCGACAGTTTAAGACTGAACATGTATATGATCCCATGCATGTACGTTATTTGATGTAGGATCTTGATGGGTTTATAGGACATATCATTCAAAGATAGGTTGTCCATTTACATACACGTTAACTCTGCTGTGAGTAGTATCATCGTCACAGAATTGAAAGTGTTATTATTTTTAGAAAATAAATAAAATACTGCATGAAATCCAGCAAATTAACAAATTATGCTAATCGATGTCATGTCTGCCTCTGTTACTGTGTGATTTCATTTTGACAGTTGTTAATATTCATATTTGTTTATGTTATAGACTCTAATTCAAAATTGTCTTTTGTAAATAACAGATATATACGCAACATGATATTAGTAGTTTCCATATCGACCTCGTTCTTCATCAGCATCTTTACTCTCTAAAAAAAAATCGAGTAATCACGGACTTCACTCCTCTGGAGAGTGAAAATGTAGTGAAAATAGAGTGAACATTCACTCTTTTCCTCTTAGAGAACACTCTAAAATCAATCGATTTTCACTCCTAAACAAGTGATCACGGACGTCACTCCCAAGAAAGTGAAAATAGAGTGAAAATTCACTCTTTTTTTAAAGAGAGTACCAAAACATCAACGCCACCATCACCACGTAGTCGTCGACCTCCGATTTGACGTTGGAACTTTGAAGTTTGTTGGCAATTCCGAAAATGATATGGATATTGACATTTTCGACTTTCGTTCCGTCTTCGAGCACCGTCGACGTCAAACTTTGATTGAAAGTAACCTCCTCTTTACCTTCTTCGTCTTCGATTTGCGTTTCGTCGTTTGCAGGTCGGATCCTGACTCCGACTAATGATGACTTTATCGTTTTTCGTTCCGTCTTCAATCGACGTCGAACTCTATACCGAGTTTCACCACCGCCGAACGTGGACTCCGCATCTGATCGACATCGCTGACCCTTCTGTCATCATTCATGTTTCAACTGTTCTATTATCTACGAAGTAGGCCTACCAATTGTTTCTTCGATATTCGTCTTTCGACTAAATTCGAGTCTGACATCGTCGACTACACTCTCTCACCTTTGCTGGAAGGACAGTTTTGAATATGAGCGGCAGTCTTCTACTATAGAAATAGACTAACCACTTGAATTATAATATCAATTGTTGTGAAATGAAAGTGTTTAGTGGCTTGTTTATTGATGTAACAAGCGGCAGTCTTTCACTATAGAAATAGACTTCAGCTTTCAGCTGTAAATTGTTTTATATATTTTTACGCGAGCTAAATTTTAGCTTAAAGACTATACATAGTGTTTCCATTGTTCGTCGTTTGAAGTCCTATTGTTTTCTCGTGAATCACAGTAAAATAATTTAGGTAAAGATTTTGATAGGGAGATGTTTGATACGTCATATAATCATTCGATAATAATGATCATTTTTTAACCCCCGCCCTCCCGGTTTAAGCTGTAATTGCCAAACACTGTTAAATGTGAAACGGATGAATCAACATGATTGTAATGTCTTTTGTTAACAATGTTTGCGAGATAAGTGGCTGAACCTCGGGAAAATGGATAATTGCGTTGGAATTGAATTTCATATATGCCAGCTCCTGTCATTTCTGTGTCTACTTTGCAGACTTGCATGCTCTTTCAAAGTTCAATTAACGAGGGCTGGCAGATTGTGTGAGGAATACTGTGTTGAAAGTGCATCAAGGTAGTAGATTTTCAAATGATTAAAACAAAGCATAAATTATACGCAATGTAATCAATGCTATCTTTTTATTAAGCTTCATGCAGAATGGATAGGCTGTGTACGTGCAAAAACATTGCAGTACAAGTAACACGGTAACCTAGGTACCGGAGAACCATGGTAACAAAAGTAATGGGAGAATCATGATAACGAAAGATATGGGAGAACCATGGTAACGAAATGAACGGGAGAAACATGGTAACCATGGTAACCGGGAATCATGATAACCATGGTTCATAATTATGGTGGATGTTAATTTGGACAAAGAACCATGGTAACCATAGAAATTAAAGGCAGGCTTTACTACTTCAGCCAGAAGGGATTAGACCACCAAGCGAGCCAGCGAGGTCACTGTGACAGGTGGATATCTCATTAACTCAGCTCTCATTTAACATAAGAAAAAGAGGTTCACGGGGGACCAACAGGCACGGATTGGGGAATATCGATATAGAGGGAGCAAGTAGCTACAAGTAGGACAATGTGCCTTTAAAACCATGCTACACCAAACCATGCTACACCAAACCATGGTTACCAAAGTTCGGTGTTACCACGATTTCCAGTACCATGGTTACCATAGTTCTTCCTACAAATTACAATCCACCATGAGAACCATGGTACTCAAAACCATGGTAACTACACGGTATTTTGTATAAGGATGAATCCAGTTGCATCATTCCTACAAATTAACAAACAAACAAACATATCCATGATTGTTATTTTCTTCATGTCACAGCGTTCAACATACATGCAATCTTTTTGTAAGTTATTATGCTTGATCGATGTTGGATGGATGTACTTGAGTTATGTCATGTCGTTTTACCGTTACTTCTTAAATGTATTCACATGTAACAATGGGCGTCTATAAAGGGGGGGGGGGGTGCGACAGTAGCGGATCCAGGGGACGGGGGGGGGGGGGAAGCCGGGACCCTATCTTCTGGGGGGAAAAACGTGTAAAAATACCTCTTTTAAAGATGGGCCCCCTCCCCTGGCGCTCAAGAGGGCCGGAGCGATTTCACCCCCCCCCCCCTCACTGAAAAGGGTCTAGCGACGCCCCTGCACGTAACACCAGGGTACGTGAAGAACCTCATGACCGAAGGGAAATTCTTTTAGGTAATCCTCAGGCGCTTATATGTCTTATAAGTCTTTCATGTTATATGCTCTGTGTTGTCATTTCTATGTTGTGTATACATGTACCTGGAAATTGAATAATTAAAAATAAATAAAATATCCATACTGTTCATAAAGTTAATGCAGCATTAGGTTCTTAGTTTTGCAAAGTTTTGAATATCAATCCCAAATTCTTATAGATCTCAAGACAAGGTGTCCATTCTTAAAAAATAAAATCTGAACAGCTGCCTACCTCTTCGATAGGTCTGTGCGCTTTGAGATGACCCGTGGTTGGAATTGACCTTCCGATACTTGATAGACTACCGCCTCGAGGTCTTCTTCGTTCTGGACGAGTCGTCTAAAGCTGGCGTCTTGATTCCTGGGTGGCCTTGACATTGACATGATGAATGTTGTTCTGTAATAATAATAATGATAATGATATGTATAACAATAATTCTAATACTAAAACTACTAGTACTACAATTACTAACAAAAATATTAATGTCAATAACAAATCAATGACCACAAAGAACATCAACAACAATAATAGAATTAACAATAATAATAATAAAACACTAATAGTAATAATAATGGTAATGATAATAATAATGATGACGATAAGTATACTGCTAATAGTATTACTTTAACTAATAACACTAATATGAACAATAGTCATAACAAAACAACAACACTACTGATAATAATAATCGTAATATAACTTAATTAATAATAATATTACTAATAACAATAAATAATAATAACAATATCAATAATAATAATGATGATAATTACTCACATGAAACACTAGTATTGACCTATTATAATGACTAGTTATTAAGTTAGATGTAGACATCTAGACTTGATTTTATGAATGGGTCTAACTTGGCTATTTATAGGCTCAGGTCATGACACGGCGAGTTCAACGTGGGGCAAGCAGATAGTACTGCAAAAATATGAATGTTGGTTGTTGATTTAAAAGAGTTGGCAATTCAGTGAATCCATGATTACTAGTAACTGAATGGAGAAGGGTGCCTACATAAAAGGAACCTCCGGGTTTTTTTTAAACAAAGTTGATTATGATTGACACTATAGGCCTATGTAAAGAAGACCAATTATCAATGGAGTAGATCTGTATACTTTACATTTTGTCTAAACGGTAAAATAAATGATTAAGGCAATCCATTTCCCTGAGAATTGAGACAAAGACAGACAATTCTGAGAAGAAGAGAACTACTGACCTACTGGAGTTTTGATAGGTCTGTATGAATAAGTTGTTTGTACAGCTAAGATACTTTGATGATCTCAGTTGTTCTTTCACATTTACCCATCAATGATTTCATATCATGTGCATGCAAGTGCACTTTAATCACAATATACATGCAAGAAATGTTTAATGTTACTACAGAGATAATGTAAGTATCAATGTCTTTACTTTCATTCGTGTCTATTTTAATCTAACAGACATACATGTAAGGACTATGAAGTGGACTACTTAGACGCTCCAATGAGCTGGAGCCTGGAGCTGCGACTGGGGATCAAAACCTTGGTACTATAATCCTCATCACATGCAGTTATGGTAAATAAAAATAAACTATTAATAACAAGTCTGATATGTCCTTGGCGCGTGTATGGACCACAGAGCAACTTTCACACTTCAGGATGTTCTATTGTACATGGTTTTAATGGAAAAAAATTGCGATGATTGAGTCATGGGTAATCCTTTTTTTTTTAAGAAATCATCATTTTTTTATTATAAAAAATGCGAAAATGCGTTTTACAATGAAGTGCACAATAAATTCCCCTGTGAAAAAGAAATAGTCCTTAGAATAAGCATATGCTTTGTTGATTTTTTTTTGAAAAAAAAGTAGCGTTACAAATGGATAAGATTGAAATTATATTAATTATAAGTAGTAGATGGGGCTATTTGTGCCTAATATTTACATGTTTACTAATTTGTATTTGTAAGAAAAATAGATAAATTGAACATAATGTTTATTAACTTAGATACAATATTTGCTTTATATCTTTTAATTTTAGTGTGCATATGTTTGGAAGAATTACATCATACGTTCACAAATCCTGGAAACAGAACATGAGAGTTCAGAGAGAGAGAGAGAGAAAAAAAAAACGGGGGTAGGGACAAATAGTGAAAACATTTGCCAATATCATGTTATGTATAGTAATATAAACAGTTGGAGCATGTGGAGGGGGTGGCGGGTGGGGGTTATACCACCATCATATCCTCTGTCCACTGTTTCATATGAATTGCTCCCTCTCCCTCCAACTACAAGGATTTGGGGGGGGGGGGCTGTTAAGATGACACTTGTTTATGTTCTCAAAAGAGGGAGAGGTGTCATATTAGGTTTAAAGGTAGCAGAACACACCCTCATTCCTTCCCTCTATTTTTCTAAAATAATACATAACTGTGAGAATGATTACTTTCAAATTAACGTCAAATGCTCCCATTTTTTGGTAAAAGAAAAAAAGCCTTCTGATTTGCCTACACAAATATATAACTGTTTCTGTCCCCCCCCCCCCTCCGGGTTCTGCCCCTAATATTCCAACCTCTTTCTATTTTGTGCCTTTTTTAATTAAATTTAGTTTTACAATTTTGGGTCACCTTAGAATGATAAATCAGATAGCATAAGATTATATCAACCTTTTTAAAGATTATCTCCTGTAAATGTACAAGTCTCAAAAAACAATAAAAAATGCTTGTAGACACCACAGACGGCTATAGGTACGTCACCAACCATTCCACATGTTCTTGTCTCAAGCCGATTTTACCCACATAATTAATACTTCAAAAAGAGATCATATACAAGGACATTTTGTTATTAAACACAGATACGTATGCAAATTACAGAAAGATGGGAGTGATGTTACTACTGTCCACCATTAAATTAACTTTTCGAATTAAGTAGGAAACAAAATAAAGCGAATACAATGATATGTACTCCTGAGATAAAGACTGTGAGTTAACAAATTTGAAAAGCGTTTTCTAAAGACCAGTAGTAAAGCAAAAAAGGGAAACAACGAACTGCTAGATGAATATAAATCTATTGATTATACAGGAGAACATGTTTTAGTTATCAATGAACCTTTTACTATGATGGAACTCGAAAAAGTACTTAATATAAAAAAGACACCAGCCCCTGGTGAAGATGGCTTAATATATACTGTGTTTCAAAACCTTCCAACCAGGGCTAGGAAAACATTACTCTGTCTTTATAATAGAATATGGTCTTCTGGGACGATTCCGGAACAATGCAAACACGCAATGTTGATACCCATCTTAAAAACAAATAAGGACTCCTCCCAACTAACATCCTACCGACCTATCTCATTATATCATTGCTTTATTAAGATATTTGAAAGTATGGTAAAGGAGAGATTAGAATAGTTCATAGAGTAAAACGAAATTTTGAATAGTATACAACATGGTTTTAGAAAAAAGAGAAGCTCAGTTGATAACTTAGAACATTTAGAAAATGAAATTCAGAAATATTTATTTGTAGGTATGAAAACCATAGTCGCATTTATTGATCTGGCCAAAGCCTATGATACTCTCTGGACGAAAGGATTAATCCTTAAGTTACGTAGAATTGGTCTCCAAGGAATATATTGACATTTTTGATAAACTACTTGTTAAACAATATAATGATAAATGACATACCTTTGAGACCAGATATACATAGCAAAATGTATGCAGACGACATCGTAATTTGGGAATCAGGCCAAGATGTAAAACAAAATATGCAGAACATAAAACAATATTTAAACTCTTTGAACTTATGGCTCAATCCATTTGGACTCGTTGGCCCGAATTCACAAAGCAAGGTTTGAGCTCAGACCAAGGTCTGAGCTCAAACCTCCTTTTGTTTCGCCAAACCTCCTTTTGTTCTTTACAAACCAGGTTTGTAAAAAACGCGTAAAACGCGTCATATGACGTACGAAAACCAAGGTTTGTCGACAAACCTCCTTTGTGAATTCGGGCCTTTGTGTCGATAGAAAAAACGACCCTATCTTATTTTCGAACAAAACAAATGATGATAACTACGGTTTATATATAAGAGGTCAAACGTTGACACCACATAAAGTACATAAGTATCTCGGAATCACATTTGACAAACGGATATCTTGGAGACCTCATTTATTTGATTTTAGTGAAAGATGCAAAGGTAGAATTAACGTTATCAAAAGTCTAGCACACGCCAAATGGTCTGGAGATGCTAAAGAACTAGTGATGATATATAAAGCATTAATACTATCAATTATCGACTATGGTTGCGAAGCAAACAACTCGGGAACGACAAGCGCAAAAAATATGTTGAATTCAGTTCAGTACCAATCGTTATTTGTATGTGCAGCCGCTCGGAAAGGTACATCCCTTAAAACTCTTGAAGTCGAACTAGGCGAAATGCCTTATGATTTAAGGCGAGAAATGTTATCAATTAAACTTAGAAAACGAATCGAGAGTATGTGCAAACACCCTCTGAACGAAGATGTGAAAGATTGTTGGCAGTTCAATATTCCTGGGGGTACTAACTCTAGATTAGCATTTTGACGTAGAGCCAAGGATTGTACATTAATATTCAGTCACATACTAGAAGATCCAATGAAGTATTATTTCAACACATCCTTTTGGCAAATGCTCTCTCCCCATGTGTCATTGGAGCTAAAAAAGGTACCTACGTCAAAAAGAAATACTACATAGAGATATGGCAAAAAAGATAGAATGAAACATAACCCCCCATCCGCCCTTATGGGAAACGCAAACTCTGGTATCAAAAACATTTGTGTGTTACTTGAACAGCAGAATTAACGAAACTATTCTTCATCGCATAAGAATGGGGAACTTAGGTTTAAATGAAAATCTATTTGAGTTGAATCAACATGAGACTGGTCATTGTTCAAATTGTGAGCATGAAAATAGAAACAGTCAACCATTTCCCATGCAAGTGCCCGCTCTTTCTTATAGAGAGAGAGCCAGGCTCATTACAATGGCAAAAAATGTTATTACACAAACCCCTGTACGTACAACCCATGCACTAAAATAATTTAGAAATGTGGGAATAAGCAAATGGAATGATTTAAACGGGGATATATGATCAAGTTAAACAAATGTCTAGGTTTAAAGTTTTGTACAAGAGGGAACTATTTATCAATGTGTAAAACTGGGTAGGACTATAATCTCATATTTCGCATTTTTCGTGTGTTTCCTCTTCTTCCTTTTTCTTTTCAATATTCTACTCTCTTCTTTTCTCTCTCTCTCTCTTATAATATGCTTCAAAGTACATTGCATTGTGTGTGTGTATGTGTGTGAGTGAGTGAGTATGGCAAGGTGTGTTTGCAAGATATTTGTAATTGTTTTGTAAAAAGTATGAATATACATGTATCTCTTGTTTTATTTTGATTGTTATAGTATTTTTTTTTATTATATTTGTATTTCTATTCTATTCTATGTTTAATGAGCCCCATTTACAAGCTCTGCTTCTCAGGGGGTCCATAGCCTGTCATCATGTTATAATTATTTTTTCAGTACCAGTGTCATTGTAAATTGTTTTTAATGATTGGCTGTATAAATTGAAATTGAAATTGAAATACTGCATAATGTTTGAAATGACCTTCGTATTCCGTGGATGTATACCTGATGAGTCTTTCCCACAAAACCCTTAAAGGTAAAGACCAGTATTTGAAACGCCCCAATTTCAAAAAATGAAATGGAAGCTCTCATTCCCAATCATGTGAAAGAATATGTTTTGACTAAAACATGATGATAAAAAATTTGCCGTGAAACCGCCTACTAATTCATATATTTGGTAAATTTGTTTCTCTCATGGTCTGTGAGAGATATAGGGTAGTCCCATATACATCTTTCTGTGTATAGTGCTTGTAACTTTACGAAGAATGGGCCAAATTTCTTATCATTTTGATGATTCCAGAACCTTGCAGATGCTAGATGCTAGATGATCAACCTTTTCTGATCGATTCCACAACGTTTCTTTCACAATGCAATCGCATGACCATAACTGGTCTTTACCTTTAATGTACATTTCAAAATTCAATACAGTATTGATGATAACTGACGATGGAATGTTTGGTATGAATTATTTGATATTTTAAATTTATGTTTACCTCATTTGTGTTTATTGTTGTAAATAACTTATTGGCATGCACCCAGGTGATTTTCATCATATGTTTGATCTTGTTATTGAAACAGTTATTGAAAACAAGATCGAACACATCATCATAGTCTACAGAGTGCAACCAAACATTTCTTAACAACCATTTAAATTTCTTTCAGGAAGCCTAACAATAAAAGCTGTTTTTGTCATTCAAAGAGCATCGTAGAGAGGATGAACAAATAAGAATAATAATACAACGTCGTTAAGCGTGAGACCGTTCACTTCTATCTCTAACCGCCAAATAATCCGAACAAAAGAATCAACCCGGCGAGGGTAATCAACTGTTAAACGAATTTATTATGAGTCCTTGAACAATTAATTAATACTGCTTGTCATAGTATTATTAAAGAGCAGCAAGGCGAACGATTGTCGCTACAATTCAGAAATCGTTGCTTGGATTGCTTTTTTTCCTCAAAATTACCATGAGATATCAAGCTACATAGAACTATGATTGACAAAAAAGATATTGTCTTGAAAACAGTCAGAAAACATTAGAACTTGAATGAATAAAACATAATACTTCAACAGAGGAGTTGCCCTATCCTGCTTCCTTGCTTTCAAAACAATCCTGGTGGCACGATTTTGGATGCGCTGCAACCTCTCAACATTTGTTTTTATTAGCATTAATTAATAGGGAGTTTGAGTAATTTAACCTACTAAGCATAAGCGATCGAATAGCATAGCTACAATTAAGCTTTTATTGTGAGCATTTTTCTTACCCTACATATATTATACAGATGAAAGTTGAGAGATTTACAAAGTGAAGCATCCATATATATATATATATATATATATAAACTAAGAGCCTTAACAGAATCAGAGGGGACAATGGAGGCATTACCGACAGACACTGGCACTCTTTCTGAAAGGCGATGATTAAGTTTGGGTGAAACAAGTAGCAATGCCTCTGTTCGCATCGTTTAATTGCAACGTAATGTTCATCACCATCCACTGCATTACATCATGAATGCATCTTTCATACACCGATAATACACGGTGCAAACTATTCCTTTTTTTAGGATCGAAACTATGGCACATTTTGAATATCATCAGCATGAATGTGAAATTGATTATTGTGATTCCTGATGATATCGCCCAATGGTTTGATCTACAATGTGAATAGGAGGGAACCGGGAATGGCCCCCCTGCGGAACACCATAGTCTAATTGAAGTCTTTCTAAGTTTTCATTCCTAACACAAACACTGAGGCCCGAATTCACAAAGGAGGTTTGTCTACAAACCTCCTTTTGTTTTTTTACAAACCAGGTTTGTGAAAAACGCGTCAAAACGCGTCATATGACGTACATAAACCTCGGTTTGTCGACAAACCTCCTTTGTGAATTCGGGCCTGAGGGTCAATGTCACTATTCATAAGGACCGCTATTCATAAGGTCGACAATGTGAATACGAGGGAACCGAGAATGGACCCCCTGCGGAACATCATAGTCTATTGGAAGTACTATACTATCTGTACTATGGTTACATCTATATATGCTAATTAAAACTCCTCTTGTAAATTCCACATATCCAACTAGGAGAGTAATTGTTTAGAAACAACTGTCTCAATAAGTTTGGAGACATAGGAAAGGTTCGAGACAGGCCTGTAATTGCTAAATTCAGCAATATCTAAGTTACGTTTCTTTATAAGGGGTATGATAATAGCCTCCTTGAATCTGCAAGAAAACTAACTGATTGTAATGAACAATTAATAATCTTTGTAATAGAAGGCAGACGAATATTAAACGCCAGGTTGACATCGGGTCAAGTGAACATGACTTATTAGCTTATTTTGCAACAAGTTTTCTTACATCTGCTTCACCAAATTTAGCAAATACTGAAAAATTACAACTTTGAACATGAGGTTGAGGTAATGAAACATGTGACAGTTTCACATCTTGCTCATCTTGGGAACACCGAGTTTTAGAAACCTTTCACCAAAGAACTGTAAAAAACGGTTCGCTTATTCTTTATTGTTATTACTAAATGGAAGACATGTTTGTGAATCTGCAAACAATGAATGTATGATAGCATACGTTGATTTTGAGTCAGCTTTTAGTAGCTGATTGAAGTGATTGGGTTTTGCCTCCAGTATTGCCATGTTTACTGTTTACGAGAAGTCGTGCATGCGCTGGACAGCCTACTGCACTCTATAGGCTCTGTAACGCAGCTATCCCAGGGCCCCGTCCCATAAAGTTAAACAGTTGATATTTATCTATTTATTCATACATAAGAGATAGGAGACAGCAAACCTGCGGTAAATTTAGGGACTTGCGATTGATTTGGATTGATTGCAACTCTTCATGAGATGGGGCCGGATCTCATGAACTGTCAGAACCAGACGCGGTTCAATTCTTCATGGAATCATGTTAGAGAGTCTTAATCGAGTCTTTGCCTGCAGACTACTTTGCGTGATAGAATTATCGTATGTTGGCTACAAGTCTTTGTGACGTCAGGGCAAAATATAAACCCGGAACAAGTCACTCCAAATATCGATGTAAAAAATGAATCCCGCCAATAGCAATAGAATATACGCGATAAATAATGGCAAATCTACGTAACAATAGAATATATTAACAAACCAGACGGAACCGGTTCTAATATGTCTG